TGCTGTGTTAATTACCAGGGTCACATCTGGAACTGATTGTGGGACTTGCTGGGAGTTCTGATCTTTATTGTGCTCACATGCAGCACTGTTGTGGTGCTGTGGTCGGGGGTCCCAGACTGTAAATTTGCGAGGGCCACACTGAGTACAAATAGGGAGCCCCAGAAGGTCAAACTCACAGCTTCACACTTGCAAGGCCAGTACCTTTTTGTCTTTTAGTTTGGGGATCACATCCAGCAGTTCTCAGGGTTTTCTCCTGCCTCTGTGCTCAGGGATCACTCCTGGCAGAGTTTGGGAGACGCTCTGCCACCCCAGATTGAACTTGAGTTGTCTGCATGCAAGGCAAATTCCTTAACCTTTGTGCTATTTCTCCAGCCCCTGTTTTGGAAGGCAGGCACATTTTATCACTGAGCAATCAGTCCTGGGCCCCCTAGTTCCTCTTTCTTAATTACCGTAATATTCTGTAGTACTTACAGAATCATAAGAGTTGCAAACACACAGCCTCCACTATGCCTGCCTCACTGGAGGAACAAATTTTTAATGAATTGTCATTCCAGAAATCATTAACAATATCATCATTGTTATCATGAACATTGTTCTCCATTTTCCTGGACTCTTGCTCTGGGATTTTCCCCTTTTTACCTTTTTTATTGGTGGGGGGGGGGGATGATCACAAGTGGTGCTCAGAAGATGTGGGGGCCCCACTTGCAATTTTTGGCCAATCTAATGGTCAGTTCAGCACAAGAGACAAAGGATGCAGTAATTCTCGGGCCCTTCAGTGCCAAGGATACCCGGGACACCCCAGCAGTGCTCAGTGCCTCCAGGGCCATACCTGATGGTGCTTAGGGTAGTATTTGGTACCAGGAATCAAACCCAAGTTGAGTACATCTTGGATTGAGCCCTAACCACTGTACTATCTTTTGGCCCCTTTTTCCCTTTTAAGCTTTCAGACATTAAACTGTTGCAAAAGAAACATGAAAGTATGTAAATTTGTAACTGTACCCCACAGTGATTCACTAATTAAAAATTTTAAAAAATCAAAACATACACACACACAAATGTCGCAAAAGAAAGGCCACCTGCACTTCTATGTTCATTATAGTACTATTCATAATAGCCTGAACCTGGAAACAACCAGAGTGCCCCAGAAAAGACACTGGAATAATAAACAATGGTACCTCTACACAATGGAATACTATGCAGTCACCAGAAAAAAATGAAGCGATGAAATTTGCTCTTAAATGAATGGACATGGAGTGTATCATGCTTAGTGAAATGAGTCAAAAGGAGAGAGACAGACATAGAATGATTACACTCATCTTTGGGATATGTAAAAAACCTATAAGACTAGTAACCATGGACAGTAGAAACAAGGGCCAGGAAGACTGGTCCATGAATGGAAGTATAAGGGCAGGAAGAGGGCAGTTAGGATAAGAGAAGTGACCACTATGGCAATGATAGTTGGAAATGATCACTCTGGACAAGAATTGAGTGCTGAGAGAGAGTAGGTAAAGGGATACACGTGATAACCTGTCAGTACCTGTTTTGAAAACTGTAAAGTCCAGAAGGAAAAAGAGAGAAAGAAAAGTGCCTGCAGGCTGAAGCAGGGGACGGGGACTGGTGGCAGAAGGGAAACTGGGAACATTGGTGGTGGGAAATGTACACTGGTGAAAGGATGGGGTATTGGAACATTGCATGACTGAAACCCAATCATGAACAATTTTGTAACTGTGTGTTTCACAGTGATCCAGCAAAACATTAAATAAATAAAATGTTGCAACATCTTTATTGAGGGGGGTTTGGGCCACACATGGCCATGCTTACTGGGTTACTCCTGGCGATGCTCGAAGGACTATATCGGATGCTGGGGATGACATCTACATGGTCACAGGCCACTCACAGAGGTCCTGCTATGCTAAAGCCAGTGAATTTAGCAGCATGCCGAATCCTGGCATTAAGTTATGTTTAAGTGAACCTTCTTGTGTTTTATCACCAATTAAATTCCATTTAGGCAGTCAGAGCTTAAAAGGGAACAAGTTCTAGTTACCATTTGGTCATCTCCTAGCAGAAAGAGACATCTGGCTTAAGAGTAAATACAGAAGTCCTTACATCCTTTAAAGATCTTTGGAATAGAATACTGGGCCACAGAAATAGCATAGGAGTTATGAGAGTTGCCTTGCATGCAGCCAACCCGTTTGAATCCCCCAGCATAGTATATGAACCTTGAGCAATACCAAAGGTCACTCCCGAGCACAAAGCCAGGAATAGCACCTGAGCACTACCAGGTGAGGGTCCCCAAATATATAAAAACACAACAGAGCATCAGGCTGAAAGGGAGATGTGGCCAGAAAAAGGTTGAAAATGGATAGGGAAGTGAAGGTGAAGTATTAAAATGTAATTAACATTTGAACAAGCTGCTTTTATCAGAATATCAAGGCAAAATAGGAGATGAATTTTATTTTTAAATAGATTCTAAAAACCACCTGTCTAAAAATGCTCTGTAGATTTTGTTTTTAATGTTAAATGTTCTCACCAATCGAGATGGAGGGAGGTAATAGTGATTTTTAAAGAACATAAACTATTCTCTGTTTTTTCTCTGGAACTGTACTGCAAGCCCCTTTCTCTATCCAGTGCTTCTTTCTGTATCCAGTTGCATCTAATCAGCTCATGAGAAACGAGTCTGTTCTCATTTAAGCAGTTCAAAGATTTCCTCCCCGTAGGACCAACAAAGCTGAATTCAAAATTGATCTCCTTGAACACTAGTGCTCATCACTTCAAATTGTTGAGGTTCTTAGAAGGAAAAGTAAATCTGTACAAAGACAAGCAAATTGATAATATGGGTTCAATTCTAATGGCAAACTTTTTTTTTAAAAAAATGGGGGCCATAACTGGCTGTGGTGAGGGCATACTCCTGGCTCTGAACTCAGGGATCACTCCTGTTGGATCCCTATGGAGAACCAGGGAATCTCGTGTCAGCCGGTCCAGTCAAGCACCTTCTTAGCTATACTACCTCTGCAGCCCCTACAACGGCAATTTTCAACACTTTGCCTGATTTTTTTCTGTAAACAAATTTTTAATCAGTAAACTAAGTACAAATATCCATTTGCTTCCATTACAATATTTGAAAGGCCAGGAATCTCTACTACCTACAATGACATTTTTTGTAATAAAAATACAGGCATGTACAAACAAGAAATAGAATTACTGTACATTTGGGGGACACAAAAGGCTAAGTGATAGACTAAGACATTAGTTAACAATGGGAGCACCCAAGAAACCTAGAAAATATATGTAGTATATAAAAACAGTAATTTAGTTCATTGACAAGATTAATAATTAATATTAAAGATGGGATATCCACTGCCCTATAATTATCCTGTAAACCATAAGAAAGCAATAAGCAATAAATTATAAATATTTTGGCTCTCAGCACTTTCCTTCTCTCATACCGCAGTGATTTTTTTAAATAGCAGTTTAAATTGTCCCGTTTCACTTGTCTGCTCTGGGCTTGCTCGTGGCTCATGCACAGGGGCTCTGCTGGGAGAGCTTGGGGACGGAACACAACACTTTGCCTTATTTTTATAAACATTGTTGCAATTGAGATTTGTAGTCACATTATCTGATTCTATTCTAAACACAAAAGAGAGAACTTTGCTAACAGGTAGGATTTTTTTCTGTCTTTTGAGCACACTTGGCTATGCTCAGGGCTTACTCCTAGCTCTGAGCTCAGGGATCATGGGCTTGGATGATTCTATAGATAGCTGAGGGTTGAATCTAGGCGGATCCTGTACCAGGCAAATTGCTGTTCTATAGTTCAGGCCCCTAACAAGTGGGTTTTTAAGGATGTATTTGGCAAATGCTTATCCGGTATCAGGTGTTAAGGGGCACTTGAGATTTATGTGTTCTTTGACACAGTGGCTGTCAATGTAATTCCATTGGTCCCTTAAATGTCCCTGCGGTTCAATAATCTATGCAACCCAAAATTAATTTATCTGGGGTCCCAGGAGCCAAAAGCCAAGCTAGCAGCTGGGCCCCTTTAACCTTCTCTGTACATTTTCTACATTGCGCTTTTGGCTAAAAATATTCCTTCCCATCCAAATCCTATGGACACTTCTCTGCTAAATCCCAGCAAGATCTTGATTCAATTGTTTTTGCATACCAAGAGCTGATGCATGCTGACAGTGTCCTCACTCCACTGACCCCCTTCATTTCCAAGGGTTTCACAGGTGATACTCCAGGGCACGTAAAGAGTAAGAAAAAAGCGAGAGACAAAGGAAGTTGGTGGCCAGGAGAAATTATATTTTAGGAAGTACTATTGTTTTTAATCACAGGTAATGATAAACACATTTTCCACATTTCCAATAAAGACAGGATTGCTTGGTGAACCTGGAGGATTCCCTTCTCCCAGCCTCACTGGCCTCATCCCAACCTTCCCCTGCGGGGGCGCTCCAAAGAAACTTGATTTACAAACAAACAAACAAAAAAAGAAGACGACGATTTGGCGGGAGCCTTAAGCGGGTCCATCTGGAGTTTCTGAAATATGAGAGCAAATTCCTGCTGGTCTTGATTGCCAAACTTTTGGTGGCGTCCCCTTACACATTGTGCTTCATCCCAGTCCCCACCCTGCTGTCGAGCTTTCTGTCCAGGTGCCTGGTGACCTCTCTCTCCCTTCTCACGGTCCAGTGTCCAGGTCCTGGGTATCCCTTGGAGCTTCCCCCTTCCTGGGCCAGGTCAGAAGCCCCCAAGCAAGCCTGTGCGGCTCGGAGGGCGGCCCGTGGCCCGACTCCGCGGCTCCTCCCTCCGCGCTCCTGAGCCACTCAGCTGGCCCGCGCCCCGCGCGCCGGGACTCCGCGCCCGCCCCGGCCCGCCCCCGACGCCGGCTGCCCGGCGCCGGCTCCCCCTATATAAATCGGCCATTTGCTTCGCTCCGCCCCAGAGCCTTGGAGTTCTAGCCGGTTTCTACTGTGTCCCGTAGCCGCCTGTTCCCCTCTTCTCGATTCACCATGACAGATGCTGCCGTGTCCTTCGCCAAGGACTTCTTGGCCGGTGGAGTGGCTGCAGCCATCTCGAAGACGGCGGTAGCGCCCATCGAGCGGGTCAAGTTGCTGCTGCAGGTGCGTCCTGGGACCCCAAAGTTGATCAGAAAGTTGCCAAGTTGTGGGGGGAGGGGGTCGCGGTGAGTGCGGTGCCTCAAGAGTGCCAAGGAGCGGCCTCTTGGGACACATCGTGGGAAGTGGTGGCGGGAGGGGTTGGGAGGCGCAGGGTGGAAGCCAAAGCACTTTAGGGGACTTGGCTTGAGTGACCTGAGGTTCTGCCTCAACAAAGGGGTCGAGGATGGAGGAAGAGAGGAACAGCGGGCCTTAGCATCCAGGGGGCAGCCCACTCGGATGGGGCCGCCCGGGCCTTGGGGGTCAAGGGCCGAACATTGGAGTCGGCGTCTAAAAATGGAATACCTGCCTTCGGCGATGCGCCCAAGGTCGTGGCAAGGAGATCGCAGCCGGGGGCGGCCATGCGGGCCGGCCGGCGCGGCGCTCAGTCTCGCCCGGGCCGGAAGCCGGCGCCGGGAAGCGCATGTGCCTTCAGCGTCCGCCCCCGCGCGGCCGCCGGCGCTCCTCCGCGCCGCCTCTAGAGGGCGCTCCCGGAGCGGTGCAGGAAGTGTGAGGGGGGCGCCCCTAGAGTCACCTCTAGGAGAGGCCAAAGCCACAGAGCACCACTCTCGAGGACAGAGGCTGATGTGACCGTCACCTCTGTGACCGCACCCTCGGAGGAACTTGCCCTCGTGCTTCGGAATCTGGATCCCAGGAAATGATTTTCCATCTGGGTCCAAAGGTCATAGGTCCGCTGGAGGGGGGGGGGGGGTTGGGGGCCCTCCCAACTCCTGCTGATCACTTATCCACCTGGGTCAGTGACACGGGGTTAGGAAAGGCACCGCCTGTGTGATGAAGATGAATAGGTCTGTAGGGAAGGGGCTGCCAATGTTCAAGATTCTACCCTTTTCCCTTTGTGATTCACACCCTCCCGTTGGCTGCCTATTTTGTCTTCCAGGTACAACATGCCAGTAAGCAAATCACAGCTGATAAGCAATACAAGGGCATTATGGACTGCGTGGTTCGTATCCCGAAGGAGCAGGGAGTCCTGTCCTTCTGGCGTGGCAACCTGGCCAATGTCATCAGATACTTCCCCACCCAGGCTCTCAACTTCGCCTTCAAAGATAAATACAAGCAGATCTTCCTAGGTGGTGTAGACAAGAGAACCCAGTTTTGGCGCTACTTTGCTGGCAATCTGGCATCTGGGGGTGCCGCTGGGGCCACTTCCTTGTGCTTTGTCTATCCCCTTGATTTTGCCCGTACCCGTTTAGCTGCCGATGTGGGCAAAGCCGGAGCTGAGAGAGAATTCAAAGGGCTCGGCGATTGTCTGGTTAAGATTTCTAAATCTGACGGGATTAAGGGCCTGTATCAAGGCTTCAATGTCTCTGTGCAAGGTATTATCATCTATCGAGCTGCCTACTTTGGAATCTATGACACTGCAAAGGGTAAGTTCCCAAGTGCTGGAAGCTTGGTTCTTAGGGGACCATTTGGGGAAAAATCATTATTCCTGTAGCCAGCAATAGTTTTGGCTAATTGTTCAGAAGCTAAGGTCATCCAGTATAGATGAGGTGGGAGGGGGTTGTGGAGCGGGAGTTAATAAAACTTGATGGCGATGGTGGTAGCATTTTTTCCTGTTTGGTAAAGCATCTCTTTTATCCCTTCCCTTCTCAGGAATGCTTCCAGATCCCAAGAATACTCACATCTTTGTCAGCTGGATGATTGCACAGTCTGTCACTGCGGTGGCTGGATTGACTTCCTATCCATTTGACACAGTTCGTCGTCGCATGATGATGCAGTCAGGGCGCAAAGGAAGTAAGTTGTAGGGGAAATAGCTGAGGGTGGGCTATGGCCACACCCACTCCAAGGCTGACTTTGGCCATCACAGTCTGTTAGCCTCTTGGGCTGGTAATCAGTGGGGTCTCTGTGAAGTTATAAAAGTTGGGTTTTTTTTAAGTAATGCAGGCTGAGGATGTAGCTCAGGGTTTGAGGGAATGCCTCACTTATGTGTGGCCCTGGGTTGGATCCCTGATGTTGCCAGTAGTGAAAAGGCTGCTCCTAAGTCCTGAGAGGACTCTGGTTTAGTTTAGTAAATCTTAACACTTTTCATCGGCCTTTGCTCACCAGCTCCATGTCTTTGTTCTTTGCAGCTGATATCATGTATACTGGCACAATTGACTGCTGGAGGAAGATTGCTCGTGATGAAGGAACCAAAGCTTTTTTCAAGGGTGCCTGGTCCAATGTACTAAGAGGCATGGGGGGTGCTTTTGTGCTTGTTTTGTATGATGAGATCAAGAAGTACACATAAATTATTTCCTAGGTTTCTCCTCAGAGCAGGCATGTTGTATTATGTAACATAACTTGAGCATTCTCAACTGCTGTCTATTTATCAGTGGCAACTTAAGACTGGTTGAAAATGGGAAGCAATAATATTCATCTGACCAGATCTCTCGCAAAGCCATTTCCACAACGATGATGGGACTCAATTATATTTTTTATTTCAGTCACTCCTGATAAATAACAAAATTTGAAGAAATAAAAAATATCTGAGATACACATCGGTGTGCTGCTAGCTTCTTTTATTATATGATCATTCTTTTTGTGGATTAGCAACGGTTACCTGAGAGTAAACATTGTACTCACTCCTGAGTTCAAGAGCTTTCTTTTCAGGCCAATTTACAGTCAAAGCATTTTCAAAGAATATCTTTGTTGTGGGATGTATCCATGTCCCCAACACATTAAATGAATAAGATGCAGGCCCAGCGCACCCAAAAGCCATTGATCAAGCTGGATGGGCTTTTCTCCCAAGCTATGTGCCTTCCTTTTCTAGTCTCATGGATATTCATCAGGAAATGGGGGCTAGAGTGATAGTTTAGTGGATAGGGGATTTCCTTGCATGTGGCAGACTCAGGTTCAATCCCCAGCACCCCATAGGGTCCCTGAAGCCCACCAAAAGTAACCTATACACCATTGGGTGTGGCCTCTAAGAAAAAAAGAGGAAAACCAAATAGAAAGTGGGAGGAAGGTTGGGGATGGAAGAGGATAGGGTCATGGGTGGAGAAGAGGGTACACCTGTGGGTGTCATGTCAGAATATACTCTGCATGAAACTGTTGTCAATTACAGTGCCTCAATCAAAACTGGAGGAGAAAATAAATAGAAGTGGAGTTGTACACTCATAGGTGGTGTTTTATGGAAATCAGGTCCTAACTCAAAGGGCTAGTACCCATGCTTTGCATGTAGGAGGCCCAAGATTAAAATAAATGGCTGGTTATGGGGATTTCATCTCAATTAAACAACACGGGGGCCAGAGTAATAACAGTGGATAGAACACTTGTCTTACCTGGGTTCAATCTTTGGCACTCCATATGGTCCCCCAAGCTCTCCAGGAGTGACCTCTGAGCAGAGCCAGGAGTAAACTCTGTGTGTCCCCACAAAAGAAACTATATCATCAGGGGCTGGAGCAATAATACAGCGGGTAGAGCGTTTGCCTTGTACACGGCCAACCCAGGTTTGATTCCCAGCATCCGGTATGGTCCCTGAGCACCGCCAGGAGTGATTCCTAAGTGCAGAGCCAGGAGAAACCCCTGTGCATCGCTGGGTGTGACCCAAAAAGCAAAAAAAGAAACTATATCGTCAGCCTTCTACCTGACTCCTGCTTTGATCTAATCTGGGTCCAAATGGAGGATTCTGGCTGGCATGTGGACTCAGTACTGAGAACTCTGCTTAGGGAGATTCCAAAGAGTGCCAAACAGCTACAGGGAACCTTGAAGCACAAGCAAGTGGAACATGTGCCTTTTATCAAATATGATAAGAATCAACCCAAACAATGGAGGCCATTTGTTATTTTTGAGAAGCTCTTATTTGGAATCCACTTGAACATGTTTGCAATTTCAGTCTTGATTAGGGCTCAGAAAAGCAATATGATATTATGGGTCCAGCCCATTACCAAGAAGAATTGCACACAGCATGGTTAAGGGCATCTCATTAGTGCCAGGACACACCAGAAGTTTCAGTGGTGTGGCCCCTGGCCATAGTGTATCACGATGATTAAGTACTTCCCCACTTGCTTCCCAGTGCCTAGCTACATAGATACAAACATCAAGTTTTACTCTTTAAAAGTGGACAGTTTGGGTTTTTTTGGGGGGGCTATACCTGTCAGTGCTCAGGAACACTCCATGCTCGGTGCTCAGGGGTCACTTCTGGCAGAGCTCAGGGAACCATGCAATACCTGGAGTCAAAGCCAGGCCTACCACATGCAAAATCCTCCAGTCCTTGGATCCATCTCCGCAGCCCCAATAGAAACACTTTTTATAGGTTTCAAATAATAAAGTTGGAGCTGGAAAGATGATACAGTGGGTAGGAGGCTTCCTTTGTATGTAACTGACCTGAATTTGATCCCTGGAACCACACAGGGTCCCCTGAGCACCCTGAGGAGTGATCCCTGAGCTCAACCAGGAATAAATCCTGAGCACCACCAAGTGTGGCCTAAGCTGCCCACTTCCCAAACAAATAATAAAAGTGTTGAAAGGAAAAAACTTCCAGTATCAGAGAGGCCTGGATTCTACAATATATTTTATTTAGTTTGGTTTGGTTTGGTTTGATTTGGGGTCCCACCCAGCAGTGCTCAGAGGCTACTCCTGGCTTAGTGCCTAAGGAGCATGTGGTACCGTGAATCAAATCCAGATTACCCAAATACAAATCTGCTCACCCTGTCGAGCTCTCTCCCAGCCCTGGAATCTGTCGCTTAATAATGCTACTGAACAAGCTAATTTCTCTCAGTTTCAGTTTCCACATCTATAAAATGATGATAATAGTAATGCTTTCCCAGAGAACTGTTGCAAAGATTGAATCATTTATGCAAAGCATCTAACTAAGAAGCACTCTGTGCAAACCCAAAAGATAGTACAACCGTCAAGGCACTTGCTTTGCATGCCACCAAGCCAGGTTTGATCCCCAGCACTAGAGAGGGTCCCCTGAGCATTTCCAGGGGTGATCTGAGCACAGATCCAGAGGTAACCGCTGAGCACTGCCAAGTAGGACCCCATCCTCCCCGCTTCCTCCCCAAAGCCACACTAGATAAAGGGTAACTATGAAGCATGTTAGGTAGCCTTTTAAAGCTGCCAGGGGCTTGAGAATCAGAAGCACCTGCATTTGAATCAGGCCTGCAGTTTATGTAGTTGAGCAATCCATTTTATCTGTCAAGTCTCAGTTTTCTTCTCCGTCAAATGGGCATACAATCATGCTAGCAATTACATAAGGGTGTCATGAGGGAGGGTCAAGAGAAAGCCCAGAGAGTGGGAAGGACGACCCTAGACATCTAATTAGCCGCCCATGGGGATTTTTCCTAATTAGGCATCCATTTTGTTACCAAGCATGATTTAAGAAGGAATTCAAGCCCCTTTTTTTCTTTTTCTGCCCCAGCTTCAACATACTCTATTGTGCCTAATGGATAAAAAATTAACTTCGACTAATTGAAAGGGACGAAGAGACCCTTCACGTAGGGCTGAAAACCACAATTCAGGAGGACCCAAGCCCCCTTTCATGATTCTTTACAATGCATGCAGGCTTCCCGAGCCGGCAACTGGTAAAATAAACCTAAGACCAAGCATAGCAAACAGAAGCAAGAAGTGGTATGTAGTACAATTGGGCGGCTGACATAGATGAGGGGCTTTTTGTTGACGTTGTTGTGCCTCTTTCTCTCCTTGCACAATGATTTTTGAAATTTAATTTCAACACAAAGTGGTTTTAATCTCTCCAAGCTGAGCGGGATAGTGCTATAGAATTCATTATGTCCATTATGTTCCTGCGAACACTGATGGTACACAATCTTAGCAAGACCCTAATTTATGCTGTTGTTTTGTTACTATTCAATGCAGAACAGGCTTCGTGAAGACTGATTCCAGGTGAGAGAGCCCGAATACAGGTCAGCCTACAGCTCACAGCAGCGCCTCTCATTCCTGGGGCCCCTCCGCCCAGTCATTGGAGGCGGAGTGTAGTGGGTGCTTTGGACTGCTGAAGAAAGGAAGCAGAGGACTCTCCATCGGGCCAGAGTCGTGGACGGTAAGTCAGCGATGCCATTCTTTTGATAGTAAAAGGAGATGCAGCTAGATTAGGGCGCCTTTTACACAATTTGCACGCATTTTGAAAGCAGACGCTACAGAGAGAGTTCTTGGGAGGACTGACGACCGTTGCCGGCACTGCCTCCAGACTCCTGGGGTCCCCATTCCGTTTCCTCTGCTATCAGAGTAGGGCTACTTTCTTGCGGAGAAAATTATTGTGCGAAGTACTGTGGCTAATGAGGTAAATCTCCTTTCTCTTGTGAAGTTTGTGAGTGTGGCGTATCTATTTTGTTGGCGTGTGTGTTTGTTTTTGTTTTTTGAGGTGAGGGGGAGTGTGTGGGTTTTAGCAGTTTTAATCCGTACATAGTCATCAAACTTAAATAGTAAGAAAATGCTATCAATCAAAAGCGAATCTCTTCCCTGTTCTGCTTCTCCCATCCCTATACCCCTCCTTTAAAAAAGAAAAGAGAAAAAGAATCATTAGTACAGGTTTTTCTCCATCCATCGGGGAAAAAAATGATGTGTGTTGTTGTGTTCAGAGCTGGTTTGTTTTTTTTTTCCCCTCTGGTTCATTATCTGACCGGTTCGATTCAAAATGGCATGATGTTTTCAGACCCTGTGAGGCAAGGTGAGGGGGTGTCAGAGCTCATGGACACTGCTAAAGGCAGGAGGGAGAACTGGACTGTCTCGGGTGCCTAGCCGGAGATTCTGAGCTTGAATCTTTATTCTGAAACCTGGACTTCGCTTTGGGGTTCTCGCTTGGGTTGCTGCGTGAAGACGGTGAGTCCCCTCTAACCTCAGCCCCTTCGCATCTCCCCCAAAGTCCTTTTCAGTTTAGAGGAGCTCTGACTCCATCATTTTGATGTTCAGTGGATCGGTGAAAAGGTTGGGGATTAGGTGATTTCATCTTCCCAGAGAACATTTGAAAACATCGAACACAGTCGTAAGTGAATAGCCGGTGACTCAGAGCAGTCATTTGCCGACTGTGTGGGTGGGTTCGCGTTGGCAAGTGAAATTACAAATGTAAAGATTTACATGAATTTCAGGACCAAGAAGCTGCGCCACAAAAAATTACAGCCCAGCGTTGGGGGCCAAAGGTGATGTGATTTACCTCCAAATAATTACTGCGTGTGTTTTGCAAAGCCTCTCTTTTATTATGTGTAATGCGTACTTCAATATGCTGCTGGGGATTGATTGAAACAAATATTGGACGCTGCAATTTCTGGACACAAGACAGCACTGCCTCGCGCTCTGCTCCAAATGTTAGGAGCTCTCCCATCATTTCAGTCATTATTTGCTCTCCACGGAGGTGAACAAGTTCAGATGCATAGCGCTCTTTGTAGCCAAAGGCTAAAAGAGTGTTTGGTATCCCAGCAACAAATATAAACAATGTTCAAGTGACAGATTGGGCGGTTGTTTTGCTGGACCCTCTTTGGAGTTCAATTAAAGGAGCTTGTGAATCCGTAGCTTTGTCGTGAGTGGGGGAACGG